GGAGGAGGAGGATTGTTTAAACCGGTTGATCGAGAGCACCAATCAAATGCTCATTCTTTGCACCCCATTGAGGTTTTTATGGTACGAATGGGTTATTCATTACGATTTTTTACGTTTTCGAAAAGTGAAATTATGGGGTATTAGGAATTTCTTCGTGGGGAATGAATGAAGTTGGGGTTTAATTAATGCGAAACCGTTGGTGGTCCACGGGGGGTTTTTAATCGATTAGATAGTGACAGAGTTTTTAAGGATATCCGAGTATCTTTTACAGTTTGGTACAGACCACACTATAGATTGTGAATATTCTGCGATCAAATCACATTTTGTACCGAATAATTTTTTTAACATTCGGTGTCTATAAGTGAGTAATTTAAATTGTTTAAACTTTCGGAAACCCTATTTTCTTAGGCATGAAATCGATTTCTGAAAAAATTCTGAATATAATTTTCATGGTGCAAAGTTAATGGTTTACACATTATTTATAGAAATCGCAATTTTTAAATTGTTTCGTCTATCTTCCGGATTAGAGTAGACTTTCTATTTTTTTCAGATTTTTAAAATGTTTCTTAACGGTTCAATATCGAGATTCAAATTCAGACCTGCAAAGTTTAAACAATTTAATCATTGTAAAATTTCCGGAAACTTAGGGTCAAATGGGGCTCAAATGAGAGTTCTGATGTTCGACTACAAAAGTAGAAAAGCATTCCACTGGAGAAAAAAACGCCAAAGTACTTGGACATCGTTAATCGCTAATTCAGAATTAATTGATGATGAATTTCAAAGGGAGAGATGGATTAAGGGTTTCGGCAGTGATTTTCCCATGAAACGAGCGATGAACATCGCAGCCCCGCTATTGTTCATCATCTCACGACTTCAACGAGGAGAAGAAAAATGATTGACTGACCTTGATGAATGATGCCTTTTATCCGTACAAAAGGTACTGTCAAGTTTTGTTTAACGCTCAGACGCCTAGATCACGACTATCCGACTAATCTCCGTGAACAAGAGAGCGATAAGCTTCGACTGTTGCGCGCTTGTCGAAGGAATCAGAACGGTCTGTATGACCGCACACTCTGATTCACGCATTACATCACGCTCCACCTAGACTCTCTCCGCATTAATGTACATGAGAGGATTTTTATTATTTCCATTTTTTCTTTTTCATTCCATCTCCGTGATGGTCTTCCAGTGTTTCTTTAATGGGCGTGTGAGCAATTTAGGTGGGTGAAATATCAAGCACTCTACTATTTGTTTTTTTAGTCTCGATTTCCAATTTTTTTCAACGTCAAAGAGCCGACTCTTGTTAATGCAAGAGGGGCTTTTTGCAAATTCGGTGCACTTTGCGGAATTTTTATATGTATTTGGTTTTTCTCGCTCTGCTCGAGAGACGCCTGGTATGCAGAATGCGGAAACACCTCGTGGGAGCGAAGTATACCCAGGACCCAATGAGGTGAATTGAGTTATTCGAACATTTATTGAAAATTCATTTGATAAAGATTCAAGGCATTCGTGTCTGTGACGTAAATTGTTTTTCCCCTTCCGCTGCACAGTGGGAGACACGGGGTTAAAATAACATTTCCCGGCTATTAAATTGTGAAGTTATGAAGTACTGGGACATGCGAAGGCGAAGAAATTTAAGATATTATGCATTTGGTGGGAGGAAGAATGTGAAACGTGTTGACATTTTTATCGGTTTATTAATTAGAGGTATACTAATGTGGTGGGGTTTATGGAATTGAGAGGTGGAGATGGCTTTATCGTAGGATTGAAATTGCAGATCGAGTTAATGGGTAAATTGGACTTTCTCCTTTCAACAGGTATTTAATAAAAAATATGTGGTATTTGGATTTGGTGTGAAGTATGCATTATACATGACGTGCTGGGAATTATCTGAGGGGATATAAATGGGATTATATTTTTTTATTGCGCGGTAATTGGAAGTGAATGAGATAGCTATGTATGAATTTGTTATATTTGGAATGAAATGTCCCAAATTCAGAAAGACTTGTACGTTTTATCTCGCGAATTATTTCATGAGAATTGTGGAACTGAGGGGGCTGCGAATGGTGATACATTTTTCATGCCTGCATGATTCAAACGAAACTGAATATCAGAATGTACAGGATTTTTTCTTCACATTCGCAGTGAAATCAAATGTTACGGATTTCTGTGTGTGTGTAGGTCTTTAGCTCGAAAATTTTCTCATGAGCATTCCAGACTTAAACAGCAGGGAGTGTTGACATATTCTTGATATCTCCATAATTGAAACCAAATGCGATTTAAAACTGCAGACAATGTTGAACCAGAATCGTATCATATTGCACTGAATGACGATTTTATTAAAAATATTTTTCTCCCCGACGGTAACTTCATAAAAATCCGAAGGCATTGCAAGAAAAATGTAGAATAAAGTACTGAAAAATGACTTTTTAAAAGGGACAATTTATCCTTTGCTCCTAGAGATGCAGAATGACCGTCATTTTTTAGACCGCGACATATGACCCAAAATGAGCTTTTGACAGTCACGTGACGCACAAATTTTCTTCAGAACTAAAAACGATGGTCACAAATAATTTGTAAGCAAATTGTTGTCGAGCCATCTATACAGATGGATATTGACGGTCATATAAACACCCGAACACGAGCATGGACACGCAGACGGACGTACACTCACAGTACCCCTGACGTGCCGACCTCAAGGGAAAGCGCTTTTCGGGCGTCACCCCAAGTGGTACAAAAGGATGACTGGACTGACCTGAAGGAGGGTTACTAAAGAGGGATGCGATGGCATTCTTTCAGGAGACATAAACGACAGCAGACAAATATTCAACCTTCATTCTGACTTCATCACTATTATCATTAATGTTATTATTGTCCGGTATTGTATCGAGTCACGAAAATATTCGCCCGCTTTGTCAAACCTCAAACGGTGTTTCTAGAGTTGCAGTTGTAACTAATTTCTAACTTGTGACGATGTGAATACAACAAATATGAAAAACGACCGTGATTTTCATTTGCACATGCGCATTTGGCTAATACAAAATTAATTAAAATAAAAATTTATATGAAACAATGAAGTTGCATCTATATAGATGAAAAATGACTCTTTTTGCAAATTTTGACTGCCATAAAGAGGGGAGAGGGGAATTGTGGCCGTCATAAATACTCGGTCACATGACAGGTCATGAGACGCATTTGCATCTCTAGTGGCTTTACCTTTTTTCGTTGATTTAAAAAAAAAAGTCGTGACATTCAACTTCAGTCATTTCGCTGTAATTTAAGCTATACTTCTTGCAAATTTATATGACATAGTACCACTGAAATTTCAAGGAATTTCGTCATTGAAAATTGGAAGGTTTATGAAAAAATGAACGGAAATTGTAATTTCTAGGTCAATTATTCTACGCAAATTGATAGAAATCGGGAAAATTCAAGAAAATTATCCTTGAATTTTGAATTTATTGAAAGTTCAGGCGAGTTGAGGAACGGTTGTTCTCTCCTGCTCAAAAATCTGCAATTTCATTGAATTTTCAGTGAAACCAGAAATCTCACGATTCCGTCCTCCCTGAATCAAATTCAATGTCACTCTTCTGAAAATTGTCAGCGTAACTTGTCGTTTAATTTTCCCAAAAACGCAAGGCCTTTTGCTACTCCACAAAAAATATCGATAAAACCCCACAAAAAAAAAACATAATATTCTCATCCCAAGGATTAAAATCACGTTCAAAGTTAATATTAAATCGAGCTTCCTTTCATGAATTTTTTCGATCCTATTTCAAGACTCGTGATGTATCTAAGTCATGAATCTCAATGTGAAGTTCGTTGTATGGGTAACGTTGAAGGATCGAGGGCGAATTATCTTTTCCAACAAAACTTTCACCGTAGTGGTTATAAGCGCATACAGTAATAGTGAAAAAGGAACTTGAAAAAAAGAAACAACAGAGAAGGAACAAAAGCAGGGAGGGGTGGGGGGGGGGGCGAGGGGATGAGAGTAGAGTGGAATGGTTAAGGCCAAGATATCATAAGAGGAGTAGGCGAGGAGATTTGAATGTGGAGCACTTCGTGGGGCCTTCTCTCGACACCTCCTCCACACCTTTTCCCATCTCTTTTATATTTACACGATGGATTCGGAGTGCGGCACGAGCCCGTCGAGTGTGCCTAACCAAGTATTGAGAGGCGCATGCAGTGAACGCGTCTCACGCCGATCTCGATATCTTTTCAACCCGACACGCTGTTAAAACGAGAGGAGAGAGAGAGAGAGAGGGAGAGATCTCTTCTCACCAAACTGATGGGGAGAACCATAGAGGTTTAATACGTACATCCTTCTTACTTCGACACCTCTCAAATGCACGTGGATAGCAGGATTTTTTCAAATAAATGAGAGTAGTGGTAAAGGTGAAGCTTTCTATGTCAGGCAGATGTTAACTAATTCTCAGAATGTTACGTTACACTATTATTTTTCGTAAAAATATTGATAAATTTAGGAGATACTTTGTTTCATCTCCTCTTTGATCGAGGCAAAACCATTGGAATGAATTAATTCAATCCAGTTGCAGTGGCTCATGATTTCACGAGCAATTAAAATTAATTGTTAGATCTCCTCTGTTTCTCCACTATTTTCTCTGCACTGGAGATGTTTTTCCTTCGAGTGAGAAAAAAAATCAGCGGCATCTCGAGTGCTAAACTTCCCTCAATGCTTGTGGAAAAAAAAAATCATTTCACGAAATGTTTATCTTAAAACGAATTCGGCAAGGAATTTACTCACTTTTATCCTGTTTTTTATCCACCGCTTTTGGCGTCTCTTCCTTCACCGGTTCAGTATCATCGCGCTCTGCAAGAATAAATTGAGGAGAAAAAAAGTCTTTAAAACTGTTTCGAATGATAACGACTGGTATTTCGAGTGATAAACAGAAAAATAAACGCAGGTGGTGGATGTTGTTTCTGAAGGGACGAGGAGAAAAATCGTACGAGAGTTGAGAAACCTGGGAAAATAAATAGAAAAAAAAAACGGGGGGAGGTAAGGGATAACAGACTAGTGATAATGAATCCGGGGTAATAGGCACTGCGGTGGACACAGCTGCGCGATTGACTCCGTTTGACCCGATCCTTTTATATCGAATGTCCGCATATATACCCGCCAATTAGCTATGGTGTATACACGCAAGTGCGTGCCATGTAATACACTGTTACAATAACGCATCCAAGTTCCTGGTGTGTGTGCAGAATTACTCAAGGTCGAGCACTTGAAGCACGAACAAATACCGGGGAATGATACTATTTTTTCAACTATTCATCCAAACAAAATAGTTAAAAAGGCATTCAGTGATTGAGAAAATTAGTCATACGAGAGTCAATTGAATGCAATTATTGTTCAATGAATAATTTCCTGAAAGAGGGGTTCATTTCATTGACTAAAATACCACTCATAATCAACAATAATAAAAGAAACGAGTGCTAATCTCGATCACAGAATGAAAAATGAATAATTCCATTGAAATCTCCAATTTATTCAATGAAAGAAGAGATTTTAATCACCAGAAGAACCCAACAAAGACCTCATAAATTTTTAATTAATTTATATAAAACAATATAGTTAGAGAAACAGTCTGTGCATGGAAAAAGTTGCACTGTTTAATTGAAGAAAAAATAAACGATAGAGAAATAATAATAAAAATAACAAGGAGTACTCTCGGTCGCAGAGGTTGGGAGCGGGTGGCCTTGAGCAGGTCATCACCTCCGGCTGCAGCGGAGAGTGGTAGAGGAGATGGCAGTATCAGGGGAGAGAAAGAGAGATGAAACGAGGCGGACGCTGGACCATCTTAACTTCTTACTCGCCCAGTCCCTCGTACCCAAGTGCGTCCACAAGCCCTGGTGTATTACCTCCTCCGCGAACGCTCTTTACACTTTTATACACCAACGTTTTCCCCCCATCTCTCTCTCCTCCACCTCTCTGGGGCTTGACCGCAGAAATAATCCGTCCAAGCTAACTCCTCTCCCCGTATACGCAATACAACAGGGGGAGAGAGAGTACACTCGGAAGGCAACACTATATTTGGACCCCGTTATCCAAGCGATTCCTCCATTTTATTTATCTTCTCGTTTTTTTTTATTATTATTTCTTTATTTATTTTGGTCTCTTTACTTCACTCCCTTTTTTGTACTCCTTGTAATTCACAACTACGCCCCAGTACTTTTGGGCGCAATGTCGCCAAGTTGAATAACCAGTTTACTCGAATTTTTGGGAGGTCTCTGGTTAAAGTACACCGGGGGAAAAGAGATTATGGCTCGAGAAATGGGGCTTTTTATTTATTTTATTATTTATTCGCGTGTTATTCGCTCGCTTGTTATTGGTTTTTTGTAAAAGTTTTGTCGGATGTTGAAAAGTCGATGGGTTTTCATTCCATTGAAGAGGGAAAGGCATTGTTGAAAATTGAGAAGATATTTTGGGGAATTAATTTGTGAATTAATAATAGGGGAGAATGGGGGGATATGAGCTGTACTCATTATGACGGAGAGCTAGTGAAATTACCACTAATTTTCTGAGTAATGTCACTGATTTTCAGGAGATCCATGTCTAATTTTTCAATTGACAAATTTCAGTGATAGAAATCACTAATGATCAGGGCATTAGTATAATCATGAATTTCAAATGAAGTTAAGTTTTGCATCTGTTAACTAGTTAATATTATCCTACAATTTTTAAACTATTAAATTTATCATCAATTACATATTCACATTCCGAATTAATTGACGATTACTTGGCTAATCGAAAAATCCTTTTGCAAAATTCAATTATTTACTCAATAGTCAATTGACAATTCCGTATTGTCAATTACTTAATTCATAGTTAATTGAAAATTTAAATTATCGATTATTCCATTATTTTTCAAATTTCAATGAAGATAAGTGAACTTATTTGAAGGTGTAAATTCTCATAATATTGCTAAACTATTACAAGAATAATGATTGAAAATCAGTGACATATTTCTGAAAAGCAGTGACATGTCCCTGAAAATCAAAACTTTCTCTTCTCGATGTGAATAAAATAGTGTGATTTTTGTCTGACCATAATTGCATAACTACTTAAAGTGAGCTAAGCTATCCTCTATCAAAAATACTGTAGTATACGGCCGGGATGCATCAAGCCCTGTTAAGCAAACAAACCCTAGGGTAAAATTTATCCTCGGACTGAATTCTACCCTAGAGATCATAATTTTTGAATGTTCAACCCGAAAAATACCTTTTTATTATTTATCCCCTAGCTCCATTCCAGTTAACACTAATCCAACCCTGGGATTAATTTATTTTTAGTTCCCAGAGTAAGTTTCAGCTACTCCCCCTGGCAGAGTAATCCATCGAACTTCCAAATTTACATGTTTTCTCAACCGACGGTTTAGTTCACTGAAGCTGGTGCACCGGGCGTATATTATACTATGGCCCGGCTGCACCAAGCCCTGTTAAGTAGTTAAACCCGGGGGTAAAATTTATCCTCGGCGTGAATTATGTCCTGAGGGTGATAATTTTTGAACATTCGACCTGAAGAATAATTTTTTTGTTATCCTGCAGCCTCATGCGAGCGAATACTAATTCAACCCCGGAATTATTTTTTTTCTCCCCGGGATAAATTTTAGACACTCCCCCTGGTAATCCCGTGAACTCCCAAAGTTATATTTTTTCTCAACTGACGATTAAGTTAACTGAAGCTGGTGCAACTGAGCCATAGGCCCGGTGACACCGAGCCTATGAAAATCCTCAGTTAACTATCGGAATAAATAAAAATAAAATAAAATAATCTACCGATCAATTTTCATCGAAAGTTCATCAAAGGTATTTCACCAAAAACCGTAGTGTGTCGATGCATCATCACGATGTGTCCATAATGCCACTAATTATGAAGTATTTACTCGATATTCACGAGCCAATAGCTAAATGAAAACACTTCACGATGAACTCCTAAAATCGTTTGACTGTGGAATAAATTTGCTCCAGATATAAGTTTATTCTGACGATTTATTTGCGCGGAGAGAAATGTTCAGTAAAAATTACGAAACTCACAGTTCGCTCACCGATCACAGAATCGACTCAGAAAATTTAAGTGACGTTATCGTAATTTTTCACAGGAGATTCAGGTAAAAATTACGGAACGCGCTGGAAAAATTTCGTGACAGTTCCGTAAAATTTCCTACAGTCACATTTCGCTCCGGAATTACGGAAAAGATACGTAATTTTTATTGAATATTTCTCTCCGTGTGGTTCACAGGGCTTGGTGCAATCGGCCCACAGTAGTTTTTAATTATGAATATAAAATAACTTGGCAAAATAGATCGGCAACAGAAAACCCCAATTTTTTTCTCACCCAAAAATTCGCATTGGATTTCCATAATGTGTCGTAACGGTAAAATTATCGAATAGTTGGAATGAAGAATTCGATTGGATTGAAGTCTTCACATAGATAATACAATGGAAATGACTGAAGATCATTAAAATTCAGGCCACTACTGTTGGTGTCTTTGTGCGGTAGAATTTTCAGTCGATTGGAACGTCAATTGAGCTTAATGTCTAATTTCCTTGTAAAAACTCAATTATTTGGAATTTAAAGATGAATAAAAAATTCTATGAATGTGATCTCAATTTAAAAACATATCCAAGTTATTACAGAGATTCCACAATGAACGCGTTACAGAATTAATACGACTTTTGCAACTATTGAAAGCAATCATCCAATTGTTTGTCGATTATTTTGATAATTGCAAGCATTGCGTCAAGCCCGCGTGGCATTCCTCGTGGCATCTCCTTTAAACCCCAAAAATTTCCAATAGTGCATTCTCCTGTTAGTTTGGCTGAGTGGTAGCACTAGCCGAACTGGTCCCTCTTGAAGAGCAAACAAAGCCGGGAAAGTAATACACCAATCTAATGGAAGAAGCCTACTCAACTCGACTAAATATTCATAAGCCCCTGAAAATTCATATTATAATCGTACCAAATTATGCAAATGCGGCGATTCATCAAAATTGCAAAATAGGAACTAAACGTTTTTTTCCCCCGCATACATTCATCAATATCTCATTTTTAAAAACCTCATGGAGCGTGTCGAAAGAGCGGTCAAGAGACGGGATTAAGTGAATAACAAAGATAAATATAATAATTATGACAAATTGGTGGTTGGGTGTTGAAAGGAAATGAGACGAAAAGGATAAAAAAGGAAAAGGTAAAGAGCGAGAGCCGTAGGTAGTGCCTTTGCAAGTGCACTTGAAGAGGACGTGGCAATTTTTCGTGATTATTTCATCTCAACTCGTTTTTACGTTTCCCCTTTTAACTTTTTGTACTTCAAAAATGAAGGACAATGAAGGGAAGCAAGAAAATTGAGAGAACGAGGGCATTTGCTGGGGCACCTGTCAGACAGGTGCAGTAACCCATGCATTAGCAAAAATCAGTTTTAAAGAGTTGAAATGGTTAACCGTGATAAATGATAACTATTCCAGCATCCGGCAATGCAGAGTGGAGTGTATATTTAGTTCATCTTAAGACTGACGGAAAAAGTTTGAGTCGCTGTAAAGTTTGAAGCCCTCGAGCTCTGTAAAGCTCCATTCCATTGGCAATATAAGTTAGAGATGAATATAAATATCTACCGTAGACACAATTCATCGTTCCACATGGGAATTTAATTTTAAAACTCGTTTTGAAATATGAATGAATCCCCCTCCCATAATTTCTAACAGCTAGGATTCAGTGAGCTTCAAACCCGGAGTCTGCTCACTTGGCGCGTGACTCGCGTCTTTCCCCTCGATACAAATATTCTATTTTTGAACGAGAAAGTTTTTTTTTCGGGGG